GTAATTCTATGTTTGACTTTTTGAGGAACTGCTTTTTCAAAGCAGCTGCACCTTTTAAATTCCCACCAGCAATGTATGAGAGGTTCCATTTCTCTACATCTTCACCAACACTTATTATTACCTGTCTGTCTTCTCAATTATAGCCACCTAGTAGGTAGGAAGTGGTATCTCACTGTGGCCTGATCTTCATTTCTTAAGAGAGAAATTATCGAACAATATCATTAATGTCACATGCAACTAAAATCTTGCTGAAGATAATTAAAAAATGGTTGCAACAGTATATTGAGAGAGAACTTCCAGAGCTGCAAGCTGGATTCAGAAGAGGATGTAGAATGAGGGATATCATAGCTGATGTCAGATGGACCTTGGCTGAAAGCAAAGAATACCAGAAGGATGTTTACATGTGTTTTATTGACTATGCAAAAGTGTTTGACTGTGTGGATCATAACAAATTATGGATAACATTGGGAAGAGTGGGAGTTCCAGGACACTTAATTGTGCTTCTGAGGGATATGCACAAAGACCAGGAGACTCTCATTCTAACTGAACAAGGGGACACTGCATGGTTTAAAATCAGGAAGGGAGTATGTCAGGGTTGTATCCTTTCACCATATTTTTAATCTGTATGCTAAGCAAATAATCCAAGAAGCTAGACTATATGAAGAAGAACATGGGATCAGGACTGGAAGAAGACTCATTAACAACCTCTGATATGCAGACAACACAACAATGAAGATTACTTGAAACATTTACTAATGAAGATTAAAGACTATAGTCTGCAGTATGGTTTATACCTCAGCATAAAGAAATGAAAATCCTCACAACTGAACCAATAAGCAGCATGATAAAAGGGGAAAAGATTAAAGTTGTAAAAGATTTCTTATTACTTGGATCCACAACCAACACCCATGGAAGCAGCAGTCAAGAAATCAGACAACATATTGTACAGGGCAAATCTGCTGCAAAAGACCTCTTTCAAGTGCTGAAGAGCAAAGATATCTCTAAGGTGTGCCTAAACTAATCCATGGTATTTTCAATAGCCTCCTAGGCATGTGAAAGCTGGACAATGAATAAGGAAGAATGAATAAGATTTGATGCTTTTGAGTTGTAGTATTGGCAAAGAATACTGAAAGTACCATGGACTGCCAGAAGAACTAACAAATATGTCCTGGAGGAAATGCAGCCCGAATGCTCCTTGGGAGGACAATGGCCAGATGTGGTCTCACCTACTTTGGTCATGTCCTCAGAAAGGGCCAGTCCCTGGAGAAGGATATCATGCTTGGTAAAATGGAGTGTCAGCAAAAAGGGGAAGACCTTTACAAAGATGGATTGACACAGTGGGTGCAATGATGGGCTCAGGTATAGCAAGGATTGTGAGGATGGTGCAGGACCAGGCAGTGTTTTGTCCTGTTGTACATAGGGTCACTGTGAGTCAGAGGTGACTCAACAGCACCTAACAACAACAACTGACAAGGGGTAAAGATCTGGAGATATACTTCCATAAAGATTACAGCCAAGAAAACCCTCTGGGAGTAGTTCTACTCTGTCACATGGTGTCACTGTGAGTTGAAATTGACTCCACAGCATTCAACAACAACACTAATGATTAATGATATTGAACATATTTTCATGTGCTCATTGGTCATTCGTATATCTTCTTTGGGAAAAAAAATACATATTCAAATTTAAAAATTGTCCATTTTCAATTGGGTTATCTATCTTTTTATTGTTAAGTTGTATTTTTATTTTATTATATGCTTATGTTTTCTTCTCACCCACATCTGAATTCTCTTCTCCCTTCTCAAGGCAATATTTCCCCTGCTCACTGAGTATAATCTCTTTACCCAAGCAGGTCTTCATGGCCCTTATGGCTGTGGAAGTACTTGGAGTGGGAGTTCATTTTAGTTTTGACTTTTTCATTCCTGTTAAAGGCTGCTTTTGAAGTCTTATGTTCCTCTTGGATCCTTTTTAATGACCTAATTTCTTTAAACTATGATTTTTTTTTTTTTCCAGATCATCAAGGTAGCTTTGGAGAAAAGTCTAGCAGCTGTAGATACCCAGAACATACCTCTTCCTCCTCCTTCGCCATCAGGAGGGGACAGTAACAGGGGTCTTCAGGAGGAAATGCTCCACCTGAGGGCTGAGATTCACCAGCACTTAGAGGAGAAGAGAAAAGCTGAAGGGGAACTGAAAGAGCTAAAGGCTCAAATTGAGGAAGCAGGATTCTCCTCTGTGTCCCACATCAGGTAGGACATCCTCACAGGGGGGAGGCTGCCAACAGAGGGTAGAGGCCAACGGACTCACCCTGCTGCTGCCAAGGCATTCATGATGCTACTGGTTGGTCTTGTTCCATATCCCAGGGTTCACGCTTAATTAGTCTATAAATCCTTTAGAGAAAAATCAATAATAATGTATAATGGTAACCACTTTTGTTATTGATGCAAATTGGATCTGAATTCAGTTTAACAGTGCACATTATTAAGCAACCATATGACAGTCATGGGTGGAAATCTTCTAGTTGGATGTCCAGTATCCTTCTTCTAAAGACATTCATTTGGTTTATTTTGATAAGTGTATGTGTCTCTGTGTGTGTGCATATAACAAAATTTTGTCATTTCAATATTGTTTACCTGTACAATTCTGTCACATTAGTTCCTTTCATCATGTTGTGCAACTGTCACCACTGTTTCTAAAATTTCCATCATCCTTAACAGAAGCTCAGTATCTTGCCTTCTCTCTTTAGCAATGACTCTCTCTTCCCTCTTTCCTTCTCCCTCCTACCCTTGGAAAAAGTATACATTTGATCTCTATACATTTTGTGATTCTATATATATCATAGAAGTGGGATCATAGAATATTTGTCCTTTATAACTGTCTAATTTCATTCAATGTCTTGGTCATCTAGTGCTGCTATAACAGAAATATTGCAAGTGGATGGCTTCAACAAATAAATTTATTTTCTCAAAGTTTAGGAGGCTAGAAGTCTGGATTCAGGGTGCTGACACTAGGGAAGGGCTTTTTTCTCTACCAGCTTGGGAGGAATGTCCTTGTCTCATTGAGCTTCTGCTCCTGGGAGATCTTCATGTGGCTTGGCGTCTCTCCTCCCCCATTTCTGCTTGCTTGTTTAATCTCTTTTATATCTCAAGATACACCCTCCACTCATCCTGCCTCATTAACATAACAAGGACAACTTGTTCACAAATAGGATTATAACCATAAGCATAGAGGTTAGGATTTATAACACACATTCTTGATGGGCATAATTCAATCCTTAACACTCAGAAATATGTTTTCAAGGTTTACCCTGCTGTAGCGTTTATCTAGATTTCATTTCTCCTTATGGCAGAGTAATACTCCATTGTATGTATGTACCACATATTTTTAAATCCATTCATCTGTTGATGGATACTTGGACTGTTTCCAACTTTTGACCATTGTGAATAATGTTGCAATGAATATTGGTGTACAAGTGTCTCACTGTGTTCCTGTTTCCAAGTCTTTTGGGTATATGCCTAGGAGTGAAATTGGGGTCATATAGTAATTCTATGCTTAATTTTTTGAGGGACCACCAAACTGTTTTTCATAGCAGTTGTGGTATCCCTCTTTTATAGAAAGAACAATTAGAAACTAAACTAATAGCCAAGACCAAACCTTGGCCCCTGATTGTGTGTGTTTTCTGCAGGAACACCATGCTGAGCCTTTGCCTTGAGAATGCAGAGCTGAAAGAACAGATGGGAGAAGCAATGTCTGATGGATGGGAGATTGAGGAAGACAAGGAGAAGGGCGAGGTGATGGTGGAGACTGTGGTAGCCAAAGGGGGTCTGAATGAGAATAGCCTTCAGGCTGAGTTCAGGAAGCTCCAGGGAAAACTGAGGAATGCCCATAGTATCATCAACCTCCTCAATGAGCAGCTGGTGCTGAGCAGTAAGGAAGGAAATAGTAAACTTACTCCAGAGTTCCTTGTGTACCTGGCCAAGGAGATCGACAGAATGAACACAGAGCTGGTTTGGTCTTCCGGAAAGCACCAACACCAAGAGGAGGAAGATGTGACCATGAGGCCCTGCCCCAGACCCCAGAGCCTTGCCCTTGGGGTTGCATTCTCAGCAGATGCCCACCAAGTAAGTGTGAGCTTAGCTGGAATGAAGGACACTTGAAGAAGGTCTGGAGATGCCACTTCTTAAACAGCTCTGCCCTGTGGTCAGGAGGAGACAGGGGAAGGGGATCTTTGCACCAAAAACAGTAAAAATAATAATATTCACCACACTTTCAGCCTTTGCAAAGGCTTTTACAACATTATCTCATAAGTATTTCTTGAGTACTTCGTTTTCTAGATAACATCCTAGACAATGGGTGATAGTGGGCAGTAAGAACAACACTCTGCCCTTGTACCCTCAGTATGGTAGGGAAAATGGCACAGAAACAGAGAGTTTCAATCTGATATTGTAACAGTTAAAATATTGGAATTCATCAGGTTTTAATGTAATCCAAAGCCTCTTGCTTATCACTACTATTTTCAACATAGCTCATCTCAAGCGTCTGTTGCTGGGCCTAAGAAGGTATCTGTCAGGATCCACTGAAGGGAGGGGCTTTGCTGTGAATTCAGTGAGATGGATAATGCAGAGGATTCTGAGAGGACTGCAGGGACAGGAGTACAGGAAGAGACGAATGGAGGTGTCCACCACTTCTCTTTAAACCTGTACTGAAAGCTCCTGGCCCTGTGTTATGTGCTTTGGATACAGAGATGGGAGGAAAAAAATACATATATGTATTCCAACTCTCAAGGAGCTCTGTTTGAGCAGCAAATAACTGCCAAATAACATGGGAAATGTTGTGACAGAAACAATAAGGGAAGTAGTCTTACTGCATGGGGGAGGACCTCAGTGACTGTTCTGATGCCCTTGCTGGCTCCTTTCACAGATGGAAAACTCACCCCAAACCAGTGACCCTGGGCCACAGTCAGAATTTAGCCTCCCAGGATCCACGAAGCACCTGCGCTCGCAGCTGGCACAATGCAAGCAACGCTACCAAGATCTCCAGGAGAAGCTGCTGATATCAGAAGCTACGGTCTTTGCCCAGGCCAACCAGCTGGAGAAATACAGAGTCATGTTTAGTAAGTCTTACAAGTTCACCATCACCAAAGCTTCTTTCTCCTCCCTGAGAAGCTACAGCTTGGCAGACTTCACTCTTCTTCCCCAACTTCAAAATAAATTTAATCCTGCCCATAGTCCTAGTCTTTCATGTTTAAATTGTAGATGGTAGTGAAGAGTAAAGGAATAGTAAAGTTTTAAGTTTGCAGTAGGAGTATAGGGGGAACAGGGCTAAAAATCTAAGTTTGTTGATTTCTGGTCTAGCCAGTAGACTACCTTGCCTCTCTCAAGATGTTCTAATTATTTCTCTTCTCTCTGTACCACATCAGATTCTACAAAAACAGATTACCACTCTTGATCTAGAATTGGTGCTGTCAAATAGAACTTTAGGCAGTGTTGGGAATATTTTATATCTATATCATAAGTGGCTATTGAGCACTTGAAATGTGGCTAGTACAACTCAGGAATTTTGCATTTTATTTCATCTTAATTAATTTAACATAAAAGAGCCACATGTGGCTAGTGGCTATCTTATTGGACAGTGTAGGTCTGGGTGTCTTGGGACTCTAAATCTGTTCAGCTCAATTCAAACATTCCCTGAGCCCTAGTGTATAAATCACTTGCTAGTTTCACTGGGGCTTACAGAGATGTGAGCATGCAATACTGATTTCAAGATGCTTGGTCCCAAATAATCTTAGATTAGCTGTAGGTGAGGTCATCGATGGCAAAGATAGGCTCATCCTGCTACCAGGATAGGAACATCCTGCTACCAGCAGCAGGTGGTCTCTTCTCCCTATGATTCCAAAGAAACATGTAGCCCACTCGGGACGGACCCTCCTGTGCCCCTAAGTGCCAGGTTATATGTCACTGAGGTTGAGGGTGTTTGCTGGAAATTCAGATGCTCTGTGACACCCACTGTATCTCTCCCAAAGCAGGTGAATCCACGGTGAAGCAGGACAGCAAGCAGGTACAGGTGGACCTCCAGGATCTGGGCTATGAGACATGTGGCCGAAGTGAGAATGAGGCTGAGCAGGAGGAGACCACTAGTCCTGGTAAAAGCACAGGGTGTGGGCCTCGAGTCAGTGTCACCTTTGGGTGCTGTTAGTCAGTCCCACACCTGAAGAGTAATGAGTGAGGATAGTGTTGTGAATGAAGGGGACTCAGGACTAGAGAAGGACAAGAAGATTAGAAGAGAACTTGCCCAAAATGAGCCTAAGTGTATTTGAATTTCTACCATCACTTTTCAGCATACTGCTGCTAATTAAAAAAAAAAAAAAAGGTTTTCCAGTTGATTATTGAAAAAGAATACTAAGATCTACGTATTAATGATGAGACCAGATGAACTTTTGGAGATAGGCAAGTCATAAGTTAATTTTTTTTCATTGTAAAAGGAAATAAATAGCACTACCCACCAAATTGAAAACGCAAGAAGAGTGAAGCACTCATGATCTCTCTCATTATTGGGGCTGTTTAGTGTGGTGGTTAAAAGCAAAGACCCTGAAGCCAGATTGGTTGGCTCAAATCCAAGTTTGTGAATTTCTCTATGCCTCAGTTTCCTCATCTGTTAGAATGGTAATAAAGAAACTGCCTAACCCATCGGATACTAATGTCAAAAATTGGTAAATTCCCGTAAAGCACTTTAGAACAGTGCCTGTCACCTGGTCAAGAACTATCTATTACTTTTCATTCTTACAGCCACACAACACTAACACAACCATTGTTAGGCTGAGCAGCTGATATATTTCTTTGAGATCCTTTATTCCTATGCATATTTTCCCACAGTTGTAAGCAAATATATTTTAAGTCATTTAATATGTGGGGATCATTAAACTTTCAGTGGTCAGGAACAACTTATCCTAGAGTTCCTGTGGCCTTCCTAAACATATAACGCCCATGTTAATGTCTAACTTAAAAGACATCAACGTGTGTGGAAAGGGTACAAGCTGTGCAGTCAGACACTGGAGGAACTGAATTTGACTCTGTCATGTACTAGTTTGAATGAGCTAGAGCGGGTTAGTTTACATCTCTCTCAGCTTTGGTTGGCCCATGAGACAAATAGAAGGTAATCACCCTTGACTTGCTGAGTTGTTGGGGGATAAGAAATATGGTATTTGAATGCCAAGTACAGTGCTGGGGCTGAATAGAACACTGCTTCAACTTTTGCTCCACTAATCATTGTCCTCATGACTAACCTTCCCTCCCTCGTGAATGGCCACAGCAGCACGTGCAGCTTTTCTTGAGGAAGGTGTTTCTGTCTTTTCTCAGAGTGTGAAGAGCATGACAGCCTCAGGGAAACAGTCCTGATGGAGGGACTGTGTTCTAAGCAGGAGTGCCTGGGCTCAGCACTGACAAGTCACCCCAGGAAGATGCCCCTGGAGAGGCAGCTAGGGAAGCAGGAGGAGTTCCAGGCATATGGACAGTCAGAAGACATCTCTGTCCTACAGAAGGACATCAAAGATCTGAAGGCCCAGCTGCAGAACTCCAACAAGGTCATTCAAAACCTCAAGAGCCGGGTGCGGTCCCTCTCAGTTACAAGTGATTATTCGTCTAGTCTGGAAAGACCTCGAAAGCTGAAGGCCCTTGGCACACTTGAGGGGTCTTCACCTCATAGTGCCACTGATGAGGATGAAGGGTGGCTGTCTGATGGCACTGGAGCTTTCTACTCCCCAGAACTTCAGGCTAAAAAAGATCTAGAGAGTCTCATTCAGAGAGTGTCACAACTGGAGGCCCAGCTCCCGAAAACTGGACTGGAAGGGAAGCTGGCAGAGGAGCTGAGATCAGCCTCATGGCCTGGGTGAGTGTGAGGAGTTTGAGAAAGAGCTCTGGTTGGTGGCCTAGTGCCTAAGGCGTTTGACTGCTTACCAGAAGGCTGGTGGTTCAAACCCACCAGTTGCTCCTCAGGAAGGAAGGTTGGGTAATCTACTTTCGCAGTGATAGTGCCTTGGAAACCTAAGGAGGGGTCACTATGAATCGGATCCACTTCAAGGCGGCTAAGACACTCGCCTGCTAACCAGATGGCTGGCGGTTCAAACCCACCAGCCACTCCTCGGAAGGAAGGTTGGGCAATCCTACTTCCGTAGTGATACTGCCTCGGAAACCCAAGGAGGGGTCGCTATGAGTCGGGGCCGACTCGACGGCACATAACAACAACAACAAAATCAAGGAAAAAGATGTGACCATGAGATGGCAGCGTTACACTACAAATAATTTACCAGGTCTGACACTGACAGTTTGCTTTTGAGGGGTCCCCTGCAGCACGTGGCCCACTAATGGTTAGCAATACAGGGATCTACAAGAAAGAGAAGAGGGCAAGGAAACTCCTAGCAGAGAGGGGGGAAGTAGAGGGAGGGGACTTACATGTCTACGTGATGTCCCTCAAACACTACTTTGGTGCTATAAAAACAAATTCATTGCCATTGAGTCAATTCCAACTCATAGTGACCCTATAGGATTTCCAAGGCTGTAAATCTTTACAGAAGCAGACTACCTCATTTTCCTTTACAGAATGTCCGGTAGGTTCCACCTGTTGACCTTTTGGTTAGCAGCCAAATGCTTTAATCACTATGCCACCAGAGCTCCTTATATTGGTGCTGTAAGGGATATAAAATATGTCACTGTCTTTACCCTCATAGAATTTATGATTTGTTTTTGGACATATGACTAACATATTTAAAATTGTTTGATGTCATACTTTCTCAAAACAGAATTTACTCTTAACTTACCTTTTATAACTTATGTGCCAATGTTCACCTTGGGGAATTCTTTGGAGATCTTCTCACAGAAATCTCTGCAGAAGCTCCTATAACTTATCATTTGCTCTTCTCCATTCTTAGTCTTTCCTCATCTTTCCTACATTAGGAAATATGATTCCCTGATTCAGGATCAAGCCCGAGAACTATCCTACCTACGGCAGAAAATACGAGAAGGAAGAGGTATCTGTTACCTTCTCACCCAGCATGTGAAAGATGCAATAAAATCTTTTGAGGACCTCCTGAGGAGTAATGACATTGACTACTACCTGGGGCAGAGTTTTCGGGAGCAACTTGCCCAAGGAAGCCAGTTGGCAGAGAGGCTGACCAGCAAACTCAGCACCAGTAAGTTGGCCACAGGTGTTTGGAATACTCTTCATCACTCCCACAGTCCTAGGCCCACGTGACCACTATACATCCACAAGCAGCTGTTTCACCCAGGGTTCTGTTTCTACTTCATCTGCTGGGGGCCAATACAGGTTCAGGAATGGCTGATGGGGAGTATTAGGAAGGAGCACACAGGGTTGGAGGTGCCATCATTACAACTGTAGAAACTTCACCACTCATATGTAACATGATTTTTGGGGAAGGAGACAGCATCATCCAGTGCTAAGGGAAAGGAAAAGAAAAGGGGATCAGATAGAAGGAGCTTATTATAGTGAAAAGGGCCCTGAGCTAAGAATTGCAAGACCTAAGCTACAACCTAGATGCTATCATTTGGACAATGACTTAACCCTTTTAATGTCTTTATTTCTTCACTTTTCCCCCCAGAGTCCTTGTTTATTACATAGTATTGCAGATGAATATACTTTGCATATAGATAAACACCATGTTCTTTTGGACATGGTTTAGGTACTGGATGTAGTGGTACCAGGGCTTGGAATGTTGGTTATTATCGCAGCTCTTTATTAATGGGAATTTCCTGAGTGAACCCAAGGGATTTCACCAAGATCAGACTGAACATTCCATCTCCTGGTGGCAGGAGCAGAGATGGGACAAGGGTAGTTGTCATCTGCTCAGAGACAGGAGTAGATTCTACATGAAAGCTGTGATGGGACACATAGCCATGCACCTGGGAACCAGTATAGTGGTAGGACTTGGGGGTAGGGTCTTCCAGAGGGCAGCTGGGCAAGGGCATTACGACCATTTGTTCAAAGGATGTTTTAATCTTTTTTTGTCCTGATTCAAGCAGAGGAAGCCAAGATGATGATGACTGGGTCAGGGAAGGTCTGCCTGGTGAGCTCAGAAAAGCCTGCCATGCCACTTCTGTAAAGACACAACTTGAGACTTCCCTGAGCAATTCTCCCAGAGTATCCTGGGTGCATTCATAAAATCATCGCTTTTCTTTGACTGAGTAGGCCCCTATGTTTGGACTGTTTGATGTGGAACTTGTTTTATTTCTTACTGTTTCTCTCTGAATTTCATTTGCAGAGGATCATAAAAGTGAGAAAGATCAAACAGGACTTGAGCCACTCGCCCTTAGGTAATTAATGATAAGATCTCTTAAAGAAGTCATGAACAAGGTTCATGGGGTCAAGGTTGGCTGCATCTTCCCAATATGGTGAAAAACAAAAAAATGCTGATTGCGATGAATTTACTTATTTATTCAACACCTTAATGTTGGTTTAACTGAATTCTTTATTCTCTTTTTATGTGATTCTATTGATTTCTATTTATACATTAATTCTCCAGACACAGTTACTGAAAGTCAGTCTGACCTGAACTAGCCAAATGTTAGGAGTCCTCAGCATCCTTGGGAGTCTCTCATTATCTCTCTGTATGTTTAAAGACTGAGGGGAGCTTCTTGCAAGGTTGGCCTGCCTTGAATTGGGTCGAAAGGTAGTTTGACAGTCACTCCATTTCCTTGGAAAAAAAAGAGAATCAGATTATAGTACCTAGTGAAAGAGGCCCACAGGTGGTAGCTCTTTGAGAGGCTTTATTGCCTCAGGAGCCAGTTTTCCATGACTCCCTGTGTATAATGGTCAGTAAAACATGGACTCAGAGTTAGTTGCAACCTATAGTTTGAGATTCTCTGAGTCATGAGTGTTCCTTAGACCACATAGTGTTTCTCAAACTCTCTGTGGTCATCTGGCTTACGTAGGCTTTCCCATGAGCTTGGTCAGGACTAGGTGGTCCAGGTGACCTTGGATCTCATCTTTTGTCCTCCCTTACTCCTCCAGGCTCAGCAGGGAGCTGCAGGAAAAGGAGAAAGTGATTGAAGTCCTGCAGGCCAAACTGGATGCCAGGTCCCTAACCCCCTCCAGCAGCCGGGCCTTGTCTGACTCCCAGCGCTCTCCTAGCAGCACCTCCTTGCTGTCTGATGAACTGGAAGCCTGCTCTGACGTGGAAACCGCCAGCGAGTACACACACTATGAAGAGAAGAAAGCTTCACCTGGTCACTCAGGTAGCTGCACTTTCTGAGTAGTACCACCCTTTCCTAGGCTGAGAGGAGATCTCTGTAACCAGAGATCTATATTGGTATGTGTCATGCTTCATACAGCTCTGGGACCAAGTGCCAAACAGGAATCTTTGCTCTTCCTGACTCTAGAAGTCATCTCTGCTACTGTCCGCTGGTACAGCTGTTGGACTCAAAGCAAGAGATAGTGGGGAGAGTGGGAAGATGACGGCAGGTTCTTCTTCACCCCTGCCTCATGCACAGCATGTCTGCTAGACCTTCTTCTTTAAGATGGAACATCTCACTTCTCTGCAATGATCTTGCTAATTCTAGTTCCTGAAAAGCATCCCCTAAACATCTGTGAGTGTCCACAGATGCTACCAGTCTTGACTGGTATTATTGGAGGTGCTATTTTCATGGTTTCAGGGCACTGAGCCCCATTATTACTCCTAAGGTGGCTTGCCTCACCCCTGAGGAGCTATCTGTGAGCAAGGAAATGAACATTGCTAGCTCTGGTAACCCTGGTTAAATACAAGGTCAGGGTTCCTGTTCTCAGTGGAAGACCAAACATTTTCTTTCATTCATGGGTTTATAGATTCCATCCATCACTCGAGTCATTCTGCTGTATTGTCTTCTAAACCATCATCAACCAGTGCATCTCAGGGGGCTAAGGCCGAATCCAGCAGCAACCCCAACTTGCCAACTCCCCAGAATTCCCCTAAGGAGGCCAGCCAGGCCCATCCAGGTATGCAATGGCCCGTGGGGTAGTAGCTCCATCTCCTCTCCCTCTGCTGACTGATTTCCTTCAGGGGCAAATGTTTGAATTGTCATGGGCCCCTATGCATCAAATCCTTGACAAAATCAAGAGGCTGTGTCAATTTCTTAAGTATGTCTGATTTTTTTGTTTGTTGCTTTTAACTATTTTAGAAAAAAATGTAATTCATAGTAGGCTTTGACTTGCATACTAGTCATATTAGGGTTTGACTTGCATACTAGTCATAGTGTTTGACTAATCATCTTATGTTTATTATTTATTTATTTGTCATTTCTTAGCTAATTATTTTAAAATAAACATTTACCATTCTTTTCTTCATTTCACTCTGGGAAGAAAAGAGGCAAAATGTTTCTCCTAGAATGACAGCACCCAAGGAGCAAAAAGAAATTTTCCTCTGCCAATCACTTGTTCATTATCAAGCCCTACACCCATGGCACCCCATTTTATCTGCACATAGCTGATGGAACTTATTTCAGAGGAGAGGATGCTGAAGCTCAACATCTTATGACCATGATAACCAGCTCATGAGTGGTGCTCACATTTACCCAGAAAAGGAAAAGGGATCAGATAGAAGGAGCTTATCTGGAGTTGCCTGGATTCAAAAGCTCTGGCTAGGCCCATTGCCCTCTGCAGCCAGAGCTGCAGGGACTAAACAGGGAAGGAGTCACCCCTTCTGAGCCTCTTGGCTACTCAGCCTTTCTATTCTGGTTTGCTTCTTCCCACCCACTCCCATTCTCTCTGGCAGCCACATATGCCCGGTATAAAATCCCGATCTTTCCCAACGAAACAGGAGTCTTTTCACGTGGCATTATCATTCATGGATTTACGAATGGATGTGCAGCCTTTGATATGTACATGAGGCGTACCTTGGGGCCAATAGAGAGCACGTTTCATGGACTTGCCTCTGCTTGCTTGCCAGGGGTGCACCGTTCAGCCCCAGCTCTTCACCAGGGCTGTCAGGGGAGGGCACGCCTCATCTCAGCTCCTCACTCTGGGCTGCCTGTGACTTGAGTAGAGGTGCTTCCCGAAAGCACAGTGCTTTCCTTCTGCAACCCTCATATCTCCTGAGCACAAAACCAAAACCTGAGGGAAGAGGAGTGTCCCATCTCTACCTGAGTCTGGGTGGAAAGATTCTGGGGCAGAGTGAGTAGAAGCTGAAAAGCTGTTTGTCCAGAGCTGTACACACCTGTGTGAGTGATTTAGGGTGAAACAGAACAGAAGGTGGTGGTTGTTATTGTTAGGTGTTGTCGAGTCACCTTCGACTCATGGCAACCCCATGTGACAGAGTGGAACTGTCTCACAGGGTTTTCTAGGCTGCAGTCTTTGCAGGAGCAGATTGTTAGGTCTTTCTCTGTGGGGCCACTGGGTGGGTTCAAACTGTGAACTTTTTGGTTAGCAGCTGAGTGCCTAAGCATTGCACTACCAGGGCTCCTTTGAGAAGAAGATCAAGAGCTTTAAAATCAGAATGCTTCTCTGAGGGATGCCTGGGCTCTATTACTTGGCAATTTGGGTGTCTTTGTTGTGACACTATGTCAGTATCCTAGGTCAAGGGGCATGTCTTAGAAGGTATTCATTATCCTTCACATTAGGCATTGTTTACAGGTCAGTCTTCGTTTCTGCTCCCTCTCTAGACTACCTGCCCTACAAGTGTGTTTAGGAACCTGATGACAGATTCACACTTTGAAACTTCCCAGGGTTCCTAAAGATCTGTCAGTAGGTGGGCTGCATATTGATCACCTGTGAGGACTTTTTAAAACGGAAATTTCCAAGCCTTACTCCTAGAGTTTATGATGCAGTAGTTCCGGGGTGGTGTACATGGTTAATTAAGCAATGGACTACTAACTGAAGGGTTGGTGGTTCAAATCCACCCAGAGGCACCTTGGAAGTAAGGCCTGCCTGTCAGCTTCCAAAAGATCACAGCTTTGAAAACCCTGAGTGCACTTCTCGTCTGCACATGTGGGGTTGCCATGAGTTGAAATTGACTCAATGGTCACAAATGACAGTGACAGGTCTGCACTGGGACCTGAAGAACCTGCATGTATTGAGTTTTCTCTCAGTGACTCTAATGCCTAACAGGTTTGCAAATCATTGTGTCTAAAACACTCTGCCAAGGCCTTTATTTTTAATTTGGTGAATAAACACATTGATCCAAGATTGTGAAGTTTGTCTCCATCAGACTCCATGGTACTATTTATGTAAAATTTTCCACAGTCCTTGTCCACTCCTGCCCTTCTAAGTGTGGTCCCTGATGTTTCAAAGAGGGTTCCAGGTATAGGGAGAGTCTTGTCACAGGAGCAAAGACTGGTGCAAGGTGGACCCTCAGAGCATTCAAGCACAGCCATTCTCCTAGCCATGCCTGGGGTTATTTGGAGGGCCACTAGGGGGCATTTAGGCAGAGGTGGCTGCCCGTGTCAGGGAAATGCCACCTTGCCTTCTATAGCCATTCACTTTCAAGATGCACATAGACTATGTGTACAGGATCACCTTGGTCAGGAAAACTATAGAGGAGTCAACCAGGTCACCCCTTTTGCAGGAATCCTCACCCTTAGCCATCTCAGCCTGTACTACATTGAATGACAGCCACTCCCCGGGAGACATCTGGTCAGGGAATGGTTTCACTTTCTCAATCTTTTATCTATTTTGCTTCTCTCACTTTCTCTCTAATGATATATCTCCTTTCTCCCCAAATTTCTGTTTCTAGGCTTTCATTTTAACTCCATGCCCAAGCTGGTTAGCTTCCCCCAGGCTCCATTGCCCTCAGCTCCACCCAGCTTCCTGCCCTTCAGCTCCCCTGGCCCTCCCCTCCTTGGCTGCTCTGAGACACCGGGGTTCTCCTTGGCCGAGGCTCAACAGGAGCTGCAGATGCTGCAGAAGCAGTTGGGAGAAAGTGAGCACCTCCTGCTGCATTTGTGTGTTTGTGGCTGCTAGCCCCACACTGGGTGGCTCTGCATGGCTTTGGCTTATTGGCAGAGTTTAAGCAAACAACAACAAAGGGGTACATGTTACAAATGGAAGATAGAGGGAGAGGTCTGCTTGTTGTTTTGGAAATGTATTTGCTGTTGTTTTTCTGGTGTGTGTCTAATCAGCTAATAAGTATATATGTTCACCAGGCTTTAGTTCTGATGCTCATGTACTGTTGACAGTGTTGGGTACCACCAGGTGTTCTGAAGCCCTGACTAACTGGTGAAATATTTCCTGGTAGGGTGCAGAGGGATGCTTTTGTGCCTTGTCTATGCAGGTTAGGGTAATTATGAGTCAGAATCTACTAGACAGCCCACAACCACCACATGGGGGATGAAGTAGCCATGAAAAAAGTGGCCACATGCACTAGGATCTTTTTTGTGGCTATTATAACTTCCTGCTATGAAATACTTTTAAGAATTTCAGATTCTCTTGTCATCAGTTGAGGGTAAAAAGGGTCGTGGTGGAGGCGTTCAGAAGAAGAGGTGATAGAGCCCATTTCCCTATAGCCCAAGTCATCCCTGCTCTGGACAGGTGGCATGTGGGCAGCCAGAACGAAAGGCTGAGTGACGTCTGCTTGTGAATTGTGTCTATGACTCCCAAAGCTAACTGATCTTATGTAGTCATGCAATTCCTGGACTGTTCAGAATCACTGTTTAGAAAGGGTTTAGGGTATTTATGGGCTGGTTTCCTCATCATAAATTTTGTGTATGTGTGTGTGTCAGGGATCACTTATAGCTTTAAAAAAGGAGAAAAAAGTTATTTTTTGATGCATTTGCTCTCTAGTAGTATTCAAAGGACACACAACAGAAACTAGAAAAGAGTTTTAAATGACTTCAAAGCTGCATACGTACCTGTAAAGAAGCTTGGGTGAGTGATACAAAGGGTTACCATACAAAGGATGTCTAGTGACCTAAGATCACAGCCCATAATCTGTATCCCAATATCACTGGGACCAGCTTATTTCTTTTGTTAGCCCTGAGAATGGATACACTTTCTAATCTTCCCCAGTTTGATTTCAGGACACAGCTAGACCAAAACTATTACTAAGAGAATTTGACCAGGTACATGTCTGGAGGCAGTGATGTCTAAGAGGCTAACTCTTCGGCTTATTAGCTTTACACAAGTGTAGCAATTTAGGCCTTACTTAGCAACATTAACTTGATCTTATGTGATCCTCACAAAACTCCAGTGTGATAGGTAAAGCCAGTTCAGGGAACTAAGGGTCTGAAAACTGAAGTTACATTGGCCAAGTTCACTAGTTAGAGGGAGAGATGGGCTTGAATCCAGGTTTTCTGTGTGGAGTTTAATGTGTTTTCCATTATAACTTTTCTGCCTAGGATTGTTTGCTGCCATCCTGCTCACAGTGTGGGGCTGAACTCAGCTGAACCAATCCTGAAGGCCCCTTGCGACTATCCTGTCTTTTCTCTCTCTTTAGAGATTAGTGGAAGGTGTTTTATCATTGATCTAGAACTTATTACCTCAGCAGTTCTGGCACCAACCACTGATGGTAGCAAACGTGTCCCTTGCCAAAATGGCAAGAGTGTTCTCTGGCTTCTTTTCTTTTCCTTGCCCCACCCCCTTTCTTTTCCTCCTTCGACATTTTGTCATATTGTCTTTGTCTAAAGGGAAGGATGGAAAGAGAACACTGTGCATGAAAAAATGTCTGTTGGATGTGAGTAGAATTGGAGTCACATCTAGTCTGAGTAATTGACTGGAGCTTGGATGATCCAAGCCTTGGTGAGGAAGATTGTAACCCTTTCTTCTCCCAACTGAAGACATGGTTCTCTTAGAGGGACCACTGCTTACCTGCATTCTTTGTTTGCTTTTGGCCAAGTTTCTGTGTGGACAGTGGGGCATGGCAGCTACTCAGGTCACTGTGGGACTAATACCTCCTTGTACTAGAGGCTGGTGTATGTGGTGTCTTTGCATGGTTTAGGGCATGTGCTCTGTATCATGTGGCCAGGGGAGATGGGAACCTGAGAATACTGGTCACTGTTACCAAGAGACTTGGAAGCTCCTATGACCATGGTTAAAAAGTAAGCCAACTGTCTAACACCACTAATTTTTCCTTTTGCTTTGTGTTGGGGTGGAATTGAAGAAGGTGTGAAAGAAGTATGAAACCACATCTTTATTGAAGCCCAATTAAAATTTAGATGTTAAATATTTTGTCTTCCTCTCTGATTCACTGTGATACTAATGAACATCTAGTATTTTGCAACTTGGCAAAGGAGAGACCTATGGCAAAACTTTCACAAATTTTCCTGCCTGTTAGAATCACCTAGGATGCTTTTGAAAACATTCAGTGCTCAAGCTGCACCCCTTATCAATTAAAGCAAAATCTTTGCAAGTCCAGGTATCAATATTATATATGTGTGTGTGTATATATATATCTATATATATACACACA